AGGGGGGGGGGCTGGTGGGGGCAGGCGCTAGCGGAGTTATCCTCTACCATCATCTTCTTGTTGGCCTTTTAAGTTTCTTATTGTTCTCCGTTGCCAACATTAAGCAGACGAAATACCAGTGATGAGTGGAGCCAAATGACATAGAGTGTATCAATGTTTCCCCCACTAACTCCGAGAATGCTATATTTTTCTAACTTAATAAAATGACCAATGATAAAATGAATGTTACATTACTTTAAATGAGTGCTGATCGGTTGCTAGAGATTACTTCAATCAGTCTTGATAGTGATGGAGAAAAAATTCAGACATTTGTTCAAATTTCTCCTTGGTGATCTGACATCGGTCTGAAGTAAAACGACGGACCCGATCTTTGACAAGGTGTTCATGAATATGACTAGTGTGCGAAGAAATAGGGAATCAGAAGTTTGTGTCTACAAACAGTGTCAATTTCTTCGTGGAATTCTTGGAAACTATCTTTTAAAGATTAACTGGGAAGTTAAACTCAGATCATGCTGAGGTAATTGAGACAGTGATATTGGGCACACCTGGAGTGAAGGTCCGAATGACAAGAGAAATCGCAGACATAGCTTGCTTTTTTTGAGGAGATAGCAATAGTGAGGATTCATCGTACTTTCACGTGGAGTCTGAGATCTGGGAGATGGAAGGGGGGGGGGGATATCTGGTGTAGGGGCAGATAGTCCATTTCAAACATGTCGAATAAAAAAGATAGACAAATAGTAGTTTTGGTGAAGTCTAAATGAAAATCAAATCAATCTTGAGGAATAATTTAGGTGTAGTGTGTAAGTAGCGTATGGCTCTTGACGAAGCTTTAAAATTACGCTCAAACTACAATTTAGTACTTAATTGCTCAAACCAGATCAGCTAAGGGTGATAGGGGAAAGCCAATAGTTCGGGTTTTCTGATTGAGTAGTGAAGAGGAGTTCGTGAAAAATTTCTAACAGGTGGTTCGTAATAAATTTACCGAAAACCCGTAAACATTCCTAATGATTAAGTGAGTTGACATGATTTCTGGAATAGGGCAGTGAGCAGCATTATCAGGAGTTCACATCAAATAATTGCCTCCGAAATCCACTCTCTGCGTCATATAACAATAACATGCTACCGTTATGCCTGATTTTAATAAGTGGAACATTGAACCAGGTGCAAATCGTTGCTTCTAGTTAACTAACAGGTCAGAGAATCAAATGTTGTCCAAGGTGAACATGTCTAACAGTTCCTACCATGTAGGTTGGGATGCTATCCCTATTTTTGCGTACAGTTGAATGATTACTCCAGTGTGAAAGTCAAGATGATGACAACGTGGATTGGCACAAGCCCACACACTAAGGAAACAATATATGCATCCTACACCAAGGCGACCACATGGCATATATAAGTGGTCAAAAAGGTTGTCAGTTAAGATGATTCCAAATGAAGATTCTGAGGAATTAAAAAAGGGGAAATGTATGTACTAAACTGCGTGAGGCCGAGTTAGTACTCGCATAGTGACTGGTTGAGAACACCCGGTGTTGCTGACTTTTGGAGTGTGCGATAGACTTACCTCCACGTGGTGCACCCTGGGCACGTATACATATACGGCAAAATGGTCTATTAATGGACAGTTGACTTCTGACTTCAAACTTCTATGGCCCGACTATTTGTCATATTCGACCCATTCCACAGTACTCATCTTACCTTCTTTATGCCTCTGTGTCTGTCCGTCTGTCTCTTTTACCTCTGTGAATCATTATTCTGTCTCCCCTCTCGACTATTTGTCACTTTGATATTCCTTCTCCTCGCTGCGAAGCCCCGACGTCAGCTCCAGGGCTAATGATAACCATCAAAACGCCTGCCATTCGATATAAATAAATAAATAAATAAATGTTAACTCGAGAAGTTTCAAAGAATTGAAAAGGAAGAAGTAGCTTACAAGACGGAATACTGTCAGTTTATGTGAAATACCAAAATGCCTTCAGTTGGGTCAATTGGATAGTAACCTTGGGGAATATTAATCGTTATCCATAATTCAAGGGTAGACTTCATTTAACGAATCGTTCTAAAAGCAAAAAAATGATCGTTTCGTTGAAGTATGTGAAACTCATCTAACATAATTAAACGAGATTAGTAGTGCCGAACAATGTTTCTGATTAGAATTTTAAACGCTGGCCAATTTCGATCAGGATATTTGATTAAATTAAGGTTAAGGCGAATGAGTACAAATGATTAAAGAAAGGCACAAGGTGAGTGAGTTGAGTAATTGGGACAAGATTGATTGTGGGAGGTGGGGGTGGGATGTGGGGCGAGAGTTGAGATCAATTTTTCTTTCGAATTCTGATAATAATGACGCGAACTCGTCCTATTATGCGTCGAGTTGGTCTAGCCGGAACCAGCTCATTGAGGAGCTCATCGCCATCTTCAACAGGAACTTTGGCTAATAGTTCGACATCGTGGGACAAAGAGACCGCATCTTTGTCGATCGCCCCAGCATCAGCATTGGCGTGTTTGATGAGAGCAACTTGGGAGAGGTTGGTGGAGAGGAAGAAGAAGGAGAGAAGCAGAAGAAGCATTCAAATAGTTCGGCAGGTCATCATCCTCACTATTTGCATTTCGATTCTATATAAGTTCTCGCTGCAGTGAAGTGACGTGAAAACAGGCTTCCTTTCATTTCGCCAAATATATCAACTCTTAAATAAATAACTTCAACTCCACATTTACCCAATCCCCAACTTGCCTTTCCCTAATTGGTGGGTCCTATCTTTGCTGCTTCTACAGATATTTATTTATTTATTTATACAAAATGGCAGGCGTTTTGATAGTTATCATTAGCCCTTCACAGGGGGAGGAGAAACATCAAAGTGAGAAGAATTCGGTTGGGGGGAATACAAAAGTGATTCACAGATGTAAAAGAGACAGAAAGGCTCAAAAAGGGTAAGATGAGTACTCTGGTAGGGGTCGAATAAGACATACAGTGCTGGTGATGGTTATTTGAAGTGAGAAGCCAACTGCCGATTAATAGACTTTTTTGCCGTATGATTATACGTTGCCCAGGTTGCACCACGAGGAGGTAAGTCTATCCCGCACCCCGCTCCAACAGATATTACAACACGCATTTGTGCATGCCAGCTAAAAATGAACGTTGAGGTTCTCAAACTCGCAGACTTGTGATGAAATAGGTGAGAGGGAGGAGAAACATGGAGTGGAGTTTCGCATCATGTCGCAAATCAATTTTCTTAACAATTGCCTTGACTCAATGTCACTTCAAATGCGAATGGCTGAGTTCACTGAGTTCTTATAAGGCCACTGATTTCCTCTCAAAGTCTTAATAATCCACCCTACTTATAAACCGTTTGCAACCTGTCTAATGAGTGTACAATATGATATCTGTGGGCGATCGGCTTTAAAATTGTTAAACTAGACGTGCTGGTTATCAGTCAATAAATGGGTACCACCACACGCGCACACAGACATAAACAATCGGAATATTGTGTTGATATAAAAGGGACTGATAAACGTTTGCGCAAACACATTCTTTCAGATGATGACAGGTAAAACCATTCCCACATCTCACACTACTTCTGAAAAAGCTCCACCTGCAGAGACTCAACCACAAGTAGAGCGAGCGGTTGAAGTTCACGAAGCCTAATCCTTCTCCAAAGACGTTGAGCCAATGGCGGAAATGAACACAGTCCAGGAAAAGCGTAGTAGTAACATAATTCTTCTCTGAGTGCAAGTACCCAACTGACTACGCTACTGAACCCCCATCCCCCCCACCCCCCTCGTCGATTCACATCATATAAAATTCATTAAATACACGCCTTTCAAGCGTTATCTGATTCTATATTCCCCAAACCCTGCATAGTGTGAGCTTCAATTGATAAATTTGATAATTTGTTGTTGAATGTGCCTTCATCAAAAAGAGATTTTTTCAATTTTTCTTGCAGATGGTATATTTTAAACGTCTAAGAGAGGTGTAGTTAATTGTAATGCATCAACTTGGATTTCACATATGGGGTCTGATATGTTTTATATTCAGTTGTGAACACAAGTTCTCGTTGCATTGAAGACACGTAAATGGACGCCTTCTTTAGTTTGGTCAAACGAATTCACTTTAAAACAGCATGATTGCCATAATCAATTTTCCAAATTGGCGGTTTTGTTAATTTAGTGTCTGAACAAGTAAAATACAAGACAGTAAATGTGGCACCGAAGTTGTTGCTTCACATTTGACTGCATCTTTCCCAGGTGTTTCAAATGCTCCGTCTTCTATAACAAATTCAGCTACAAAATTATTAAACTTTATTTATGAAAGCCAACAATATGTTCGGTTTCGAAACATTGAATCAGGTTAGGCTTGAAGGAAGTGTAGATTGTACACAGCAAATGATGTGTGGGGTGGTGGAGGGAGTGGGAGTGAGGGTGGAGGAGGGATGGTTTATGGGGTGGGGGTGTTCAGTGAGGTGGTGAATTACTCATTTGCACTCAGAGAAAAATGATTTTATAAGGGCGCCTTCCTCTCCTCTTGTAAACGACAAACCTTGCTGGACTGAGTTCATCGTGGAGCATACTGTCATCCTCAGGTGGTATATCAGCTATTGGCTCAACACCTTTGGAGGAGGAGGAGGAGGGGAAGTCTGCATCTTCCTCTACGGCTCCTAATTGTGGATCGATGTCTTCAATCGGAGTAGCTTGCAAAGGATTTGCAGAAAAGCAAATGTGAGCCACGAGTAGAAGGAGAAAGGTCCAGCTGACTCTACCTGCCATCGTCTGAAAGAAGGTGAATGAATTGCACGAGCGACTATCAGTACCTTTTATACCAACGCGATGCTAATATTGTTTTTGTGTGGGTGTGTATATGTGAAGACAACGTATTGATTGATAACCAGTATGACAGTTTCAATATTTTGTGGGCGGTCATTAACAGATGTCATAAGGTACACCCATTAGACAGTTTATGCAACGATTTGTTGCTAATATGCCCGCTTTCAAATCGGAAAGGGAATGTAATGGTTGCAAATCGTTGCTTCGAGCAAATTAATGGCTCACAAAATGAAATGGCCATCGCGTTGCTATCAAACATTTATTAACTGCTAAGTTTGGGAGATTCTGTTCATTAACAATGGGGTGTGCGATAGACTTACCTCCACGTGATGCGACCCGGATAAGGTATACTCATATGACTAAAAAGATCTAGAAATAGGCTGTTGACTTCTAACTTCAAATGATCCATGACTCAACTGTATGCCATATTTCACCACTTCCATAGTACTCACCCCACATTACCTTACCCTTATCTCTCACTTTTGCATTTGTTAATCAATCTAATTCCTCCAACCTTCCCCCCCCCCCCCCAAC